TTTAACTACTCCACTCTCTTCCTTCTTGCTATTTTTTCCCTTTGTTTACCTCTGGTCCCAACTAATTCCATTGCCTCACCACATCTCTTGTTCTTATTTCCCTGATTATTTCACAGTAACATTTTTCCCTCAATGAGCATGTGCACGCACATGCATATGCAACCCCCCCCCCGCCCCGCACACACACATCACAATTCAGAGACCTTAGGGTTACCTCCATATTAAAACATAGACAGTGGAAGTGCAAGTTGCTGCCTGGGAGAAAATATTTACTTCATAATACATATATGTACCAAAAGTCATACGTCTAGAATACATAATGAATTAAACCACAGTAAGATACCACCATACATTCAACAGAATGAGCAAAAATATCAACTGTTGGTGAAGAGATAGAAAAATTAACTTTCATATATTGCTAGTAGGAGAATAAAATAGTACTTTGCTGTGAAAAGTTGTTGAGCAGTTCAAAAAAATTTTGCCTAACTAAACTCAGAAATTCTGATCCTAGGAATATACCCTAGAAAAATTTGTATATATATTCATGAAAAGGCTTATATAAGAAATACACAGCAGGCTTTATTCATAATATTCTCAAACTAGAAACAATTCAAATGTATATTAGTCAAAAGGATAGTCTGGATAAATCAGTTATGGTGCACTGGAATATGGAATATTATACTACATAAAAGAAGCAAACCAATGACATACACACCAATATGCATAAACACTAAAAAGTTGATGATAGAAGCCAGGCATAAAGAATACAAGTTTATCCCATCTATATAATGTTTAAGGAGAGGCAAAGCTAATATTTATTGATAAAAGTCAGGAAATACAGTGGTGATTACGTGAGTATATAAATATCTAAAAATTAATCAAGATGTACATTTAAATTTTACATATTTTACTGCATGTAAATTATACCTTAAGAAAAGGATTTTAAAAAGTAAATGGATAGGATATTATTTAGGAGGGAACCATGGGGAATTGTGACATTCTAGATTACTTCTTTGCCAAGTTCATAACATTTCAAGCTATCAGTAACTTTTCCTCCTACATAAAGAAGAGTCAATAAATAGCCAAGAAGCATGAATGATCTTACCCTATATGAAAAACTAACTAGTGCGTAAATTCAAGATTCTCATCATCCTACATCTTAACAATTCTGTGCTATGCTCATTTAAATTTTTAAAGGTTGCTGAATCACAACAAATACAACCTAACAGCTTAGGCATAATGGAAGGAAATTGTTAAAAAGTATATATTTGAAAACACATTGCTTAGAAAAAACTTAAAGTAGAATTATGGAAATGTAAATAATTAAAGGCCCTGTTGAACACAGTGTCCTGAACCAGGTAATGCATGGAGAACTAATAGCTGTCATCCTTAATGCTCACTGTTGCAGGCCAAAGTTGCTTCCAGGCACAATTACTCCCAAGACCATAACATGGCCTTCTATAGGAGTAGAACAGGCTCTAGACTCTTTGATTGATACATGACAGAAAAATCTGGTCTACTCAGATATAACAGATATAATCTGATACAACGGAAGAAATACCAAATGCTATGATATGAACAAAGAGAAATAATCCAATGATATGAAAAGTTTCCTTTACCATCCAAGCTCCAATTGCTATGGTCTCACTATCTATTGACAATGGGACATGAGGGTACACTTACCTTTATTAATGGGAACTGGACTGTGGACAACCTACCTGCAGCATAAATTTCCCACTGGCCTTTTCTAATAAGTGTGAAGGAATCTGGTTTTTTTGTAAACTGAAATGGCTAGAGAATATAACTTCTGACCTTACCTTCTGCCTTTCTTCAAGAATTAGACATTCCAGAAAATTACACACTTCAATTTCATATTATTCAGCATTTTTCATAAATTATTTTTGATTCCTAAGGTAATAAAAGTTACTTTAATATATCCTCAGCCTTTGTTTCTTGTTGATTGCCCATTCTTTTCTATGATCTCTCTTGGCTGCTTTTTAAACAAAAAAGTCATCCTTGTCTCATCTTCATAAAAGGCAAAGTGATTTTCATAATATTGAATAGATGTGTAAATAGTACAATTGTGCTTATATTTAATCCTTAAATTCTTGATTAAGAGAAATACAAATTATGAGACAACAAAAGTTCTGTGATGTAATTCTGAATCTTGCAGTTTCTTGACACTTGGAGACTATTTGTTTTAACAGATTCAAATTTAATTAAATAAGCATAACCTTTACCTGAGATTTGATTATATACATTATCAAACTACATAGAGATACTATTAAGTCTATGGCACCATTTCCTTTTAAAAGCACATGATCTTGAAATGAGAAATCATATTTAGTCAGCAAACTTAAATTGAATATATAGGGGTTTAAAATAGTTTGTTTAAATTTTGTTATAATAACTTCTTTCTCAATTGTGGAAATGAACCTTGTGTGTAGAAAAGAGTTAAATGAGTCTCTGACTATTGTATTTTAAAAACCTTTTTGGGAAAGACTGGCCCTAAGCAGGCCCCAGGGAACTTAGATTTCAGAAGTGTCACCACCACTCTAAATGGTCAAAACAGCTCACTGTGCCAAAATTGTGCAAACAATGTGGTTTATGCTGCACTGTTGCTTTCCTCCTGGATGAGCAGAATTTTGATATGTGCTAGGCAGAGGGTGCTTCAGTGACTAGCTCCCAATAAAAACCATAGGCATTGAGTTCTTGGTAGGTTTCCCTCGTAGAAGGCATTACCATGAAAACATATCACACGTGTTGTTACAAGTCATTACTGGGGAATTAAATGTATTCTATTTTTTTTCCATTTGGAGAAGGGACTCTCAGAAGTTTGGGTTTGGTTTCTTCAAGAAACCTTGCCTTTCCCTTTACTGATTTTTCTGTGAATCCTTTAACTATAAAAATCATAACCATGAAATGGATACTGGTTGAGTTCTGAGAGCTCTCTTGCAGATTGTTGAACCTAGGAATGGTCTGGGTATTACAGTTTATATCAAGAGATCCCCAAAGAGTGTCAAATGCTCATAGGTGGGCTTTTGAAAGCTGACTGGACTATGGGGGCATCATAGCTGACGTGCTGTTTAGAAGGCAGGGTCTGGTTGGAAGAAGCAGGTCACTGGGGATGCGGGCTAGAAGGGTATCCTCCCTCCCCTCTGCTTCCTGGCTGCCATTAAGTAAGCAGTTTTCACCCACCAAACCCTTCCGTTATTTCTTGTCTGGGAGCCAGCCAACTATGAACTAAAAACATGAGCCAAAATAGACCTTTCCTCCTTTAAATCTGGGGTGTCAGGTATTGTGTTTCACTAATGAGGAAAGTTACTAAAACACTAGGGAAATTTGTCACACCTTATATCTGTGAATTGTGCCCTTTATACAGAAGAATAGCAGTTACGTTGATTCCAAAGATTAGTAAAATAATTTCAGGGGAATAGCAATTTTCAAAGAACGCTCAGGTCAAGTCATATGAAATTCCTACCTCCCTTAGTATGAGACTAATGAGACTTAGTATACGTACATTCTTTTTTAATTTGCTATTTTCTTTTTCCAGTGTATGTTTTATTAGTTTATATTTATTTTGCAGAATATTGAGTCTTGCGGCATTTTCATAGATGCACACAACATATTTTGATCATGCCCATTCTCCTATTACCATCTCTTACACCCCTGACCTCGCTCTTCCTGATTCCCTTCCTTTTGTCTAGTAGCATCCCTTCTGCTTTTATGTCATCTTTCCCCCCTAGATTTTACATACTAGGGAAAACATGTGACATTTGACTTTCCAAGTCTGCCTTATTTCCCTTAACATGATCTCCAGTTCCATCTATTTCCCTTTACATGACATAATTTTGTTGCTCTTTATTACTGAATATTCCATTATGTATGCATACCATATTTTCTTTACTAATCCACTGATGGCCACCTAGGCTAATTTTATATCTTGGCTCTTGTGAATTGCCTCAATAAATATGGCTATTCAGTGTATCTATAGTATACTGACTTTAATTTCTTCAGGTACACACCAAAGAGTGATTCTTTTTATACACCATTCATTTAAAAAACACATATTTGCTCTTTTCAATACTTCAAGGTGAGAATTTATTGCCTTCTTGTACACCTGATAGTTTCCTCATATCTATTAATAATACAGGTCCTTTGGATTGGTCAGTAACAATTTTAAACAGTTAAATTCATTGTTTTAGAGGTGAGTTACTGGCCATATTTCTTTTGAGCTCAGCTTTTCTAACAACTTTTAGCAAAATGAAAAGGTATCTTCTTTAGAAATACCCTTTACTTGGCAGATAATAAAAAAAATCACATTTGTAGCATAAATTGATTTGTTCCTGTAAATCTTAGCAAATGCTCAAGAGTCTGTCCATTTATTGGTCCCTGATTTCATCTTTTTTCCTTTCTGTGCTGTTTAAAAATACAGCTGGACAAAAGAACAAATAATAGATACAACATTTTGATAACTTTTTTCCACAATTTTTACCTGGTGATATTGCAATTAAAGAGTAAACTCCATTAGGAAAAACCAAGAAAAACATTAAAAATTATACTCTGCAAAATAGGAAGTTATATGATGGAGATGTCACTATGATTGCTATTTCTATAAATATTAATGCTAAATAAAATTGCCATATGTTAAGAAATGAAACAGTATTTTGGTAAGCATCACCTCAAAAATGACAAAGGCCAAATTACTAGGCTCCTTAATATAACTGCATTTTTCTGTTGATCTTAATTGTAGTAAAATCTTTTTTTGATTCCCAATTCATTTTGCATCATTAAACATCACCCACTGTTTCTACATATGTATGCCAATATGATAATTTGTCCATTATTTTTCATTTGTTAAGAATTTTTCTATTAAATTACATATGGCCAATATTAAATTTTCCAGGCATGAGTTCCTTTTCCTTGATGTTTATTAGCATTCACCAATACATTTTCAATACTTTCTTACAAAACAATTTAACTAAAATGTCTCATCCTGTATAATGTTACCTTCGAAAAATCATCTTTTTGTTTCTTTTTTATTTTTTGACTCTATAAAGACCATTGTCCTCTCATTCAAATCAAGTAAGGAGCTACCAAAACTCAAAAGACTACAGGTAACAATAAGCACATAAAACATAAAATGGGGAAATGTCTCCCAAGGGACTCACCCACTGGAGTCTGCAGAAGTGATAGCTATCAGTGGCAGAATCTTCAAGGGGAGGCTGGTTGGTCGTGGAATGTTCTCGGATTCACTTTTCAAGTCTGCTTGTTCCAATTGTCTGAAGGCAAGAGGAGGAAGCTGAATATTGCGGCATGAAAGTCTTCGAACAAGGTAGGGCTCCATTCCTCGAAAAGGGTCTTCCTCTTCATTACTAGAATGTAGTGTTTCCTCAGAGGCCTAAGGTAAAAGTTCAAAAAAGTACATGAAATCAATAAAAGTCTCAATATTTATCATTATATAATGAATTTATATCTTACTGGGGAAGAAATTAAGTGAAACATATACATGAGAAAGGTTCCACTGCCTGCCTCGTAAGTGGAAGGTCCCAAGTTCGATCCCCGGTACCAAAAAAAAAACTTTCTAGATATCAACTATATGAACAGAACAATATTTGGTGAAAAGATCAGAATCCATACCTGAAATCTAGATTCATTTTACAAATAAGTTGTTCCAATATGTTTAGTTTAGCTTGGTCGTAGCAATTGACTGACATCCCCAGCAATCTTAGAATATAAGAACTTTGTGTATGAGTTCTACTAAACCAAAGGTAAATTTGTTTTTTCTATGTCTTATGAAATGAATTGCAAAAAATTTAATTTTATTATCTTGATATATTCATTGTCAGAATATGTGTATTTTTTACAGGCATATAGATGTCTATGAAAAGAGAGGAAGAAAATTACTTCTATTTTTTTCTTCATACTTAGGACCATGTTTATAACACATTTTCATGTTTCTCTAATATTATCTAGCCAATTGTTACAAGACTTTGTGAGACAATATTTTTTAAAGTCATGAAAAGAAAATCTTAGAACTAAGTAGCATTTAAGCCATACCCGAATTTTGCAAATTTCGTCTACATTATTCACATGAAAAGGCAAATCAATTCTACAATAAAGTAGAAAATTTAATATTTTGATTCTAGCTGGGAAAACTGTACCATTACATAAGGCAATTTGAAAGTAGTTAGAAAGTCTGTTCTAATAGTTTTTATCATATTCAATACTGAGTCTTATAGAATCATCAAATGTATTAGGTAATATGCCTCAAGGATTTTTTCTTCCTATTTTGGTTTTTTTTTCGAGAGCTAGGGATTGAACATATGACCTCCTGAATCCTCGGCTAGCAATCTAGCACAGAGCTACATCCCTGGCCCATCTTAAATCCTGAGACAGGATCTTGCTAAATTACCCAGGTTGGCCTCAAGTTCACCGTTTTCCTATCTCAGTCTTGAGTAGCTGGAATTATAGTCCTCTGCCACCACACTCAACTGAGTGCTAGGTTTTTGAATCCTGACATTACCTCTTTATTAGCTATGTTCTTAGAATGTTGTTTAACCTATCTAAATGGTCTGTTCTTAAAAATAGTATGGATATTTACCCTGAGGAGTTAAATGAGACCATGCATGTGATATGCATAACTGATTGTTTACTATGAGATAAACAACTGTAAAGAGCAATTTTCTTTTCTTCTAAGTGATATAGATGAAGAAACTCACCCAAAGAGACAAAGTACTTTCCCTCAAATTAGCTTGTTGGTTATAAGTTAAACCCATGGAAACTTTGGATCATCCAGACCTAGTTTACAATCTTTATAGCACACCTTATTATACTATTATTTTTGAGCAATTAACTTAGATTCAGTGAAACTGTTTCTCCAAAGATTGAGATAATTTTCTCTGAAAATTGAAATAATAATATTTACCTCTTATGATCACATCTGAATCAGATACAAAGAATATGAAGCACCAATATCTGGCACAGAGTTTGAATTCAACACCAAAATAGCAGTTATTACTATTAGAACACTGGCTACTTCCCTTTTCTTTCCATTGTACTATGCTGCCTTTGATGCTCATTTTCCTTGGTTTCCAAATAGAATATGTTTCTCTTGTTTGCATCTTGAAAACATGAAAGGATATGCAATTGTGGACTCAGTTCTGGCCTTCACTCTATTTTATAACATTACGAACAATTAGGATAATAGGTACCCAAAAGCTAAAGAAGAAGCTGAAGTGAAAAATACTCTTTTATTTCAAAGCCTAGATCTAAAAATCTAGATTCTTCAAATCTGCTTTGAGGTATCTACTTACTCTACAAAACAACATAAAAAATAATAAAAATAATGGCTAATATTTATTGAGTACTATTAAGTGGTGCTTTTTTACATATGCTCTCTCTTTTAATTTGTATTAAAATTGTATGATGCTGGGGATTTAGCTCAGTGGCAGCGCACCTGTCTCACAAGTACAAGGTCCTGAGTTTGATCCCCAGTACCAGAAAAAAAAAGTATGAGTTAACTCCTTTTACTTTTCTCATATTACTCATAAAGAAGCAAAGACCTATAAAATAGCATCATTACATAGCAAGTAGGGTGACCATCGTTGTTTACCTAGAACATTTTGATTTTAGCATTTAAAGTTTTGTGCCCAGGGAAACACCATGGTTCCAAACAAATGAGAATGGCTGATTACCCTAAAAGCAAGGATCCAAACCCAAATATGTCTTAGTGATAGCTGGAGCTAACAACTACCACCTTACAGTTACAGACCTTTGGCAGAGTACATACTACTAAAAAAAGAAAGTAAGACATGCACTTATGGACCACAACTTAATAAGCCTCACACTTTAATTTAAAAAAATAATGGAACTAAAAAGGAACAATCCTACATAAACATTTAAAATTAATGATAATCTATGATTAAATCAGGAGATAGAAATTCTAGGTCCTACTGTGTACCAATTATTCCTGCAGTCTTAAGAGGCCCCTTATTCTTTTTAGGCTTTTGTTTCTCTAGGCATAAATCAAGAGCTTATACAAAATAAATTTTAAAACCACTTTCAGTTCTGAAATGCTCTGATTTTGTAACAACTCATGGCAAAGTCAATGTTTAGGGAAATGGCAAATGCAGAAAACAAAGAGAAAACTTGTACTCGTGTAACTTTTTTTGCTTGTATTTAATTTTTGAAATTTCTGGTAGTCCATGTTCGCAGTATATAATGTTGACATTTATCAGAAGGAGTTGGCACATGTATATAACACATTTAATTCTTTTTACTTGCCCTTCTCCTCCCCTCCCTCTCCCCTCCCTCTTCCCTCCCTCTTCCCTCCCTCTATCTCTAGATTGCCTTCCCATTTACAAAACATCTATTTTCTATTATCTACCCTTCATTTTGCTTTTTAAAGGTTTTATACTTTGGGTATCTCATATCAGCAAAACCATGTGATATTAAAACTTGCATATCTGATTTATTTTGCTTAATATTAAGGTCTCAAATTGCATCCATTTTCCTACAAATGACTCAAAATACTACTCCATTAGGTTTTACACTGGGAGAAACTCTATTTACTTGTGAAATTCATTCAAGGACAGAGCTGCAAACCTAACTCCGACGCTTGGATTATTAACAAGTAATAATTGAGTTAATGACTTAACAGGAATGAACAAAGAAAAGAACAAAGATGAGTCTAACAAAGCTTTAGTCACATGGAATATAGCTTGCTGAAATTAACTTCTCTTCGTTAGGTGCTTAGTTGTCCACACTGGGTATTAACACTGCAATTGCAAAAGTGCTTTATATAACCCAGCTTACTAGATGAATGGCAATGTTTGTGACATTCTCTTTTTGATAAAACTGTCTCAAGTGGTTACTTACCCCTTTTGAGAGAATGATCTCTGTTAAAAATAAAGTTTATGTTCATGCTCATATACTGTCAATTTAATCCCCAATTTCCTGTGTTTTTATCTTGATTATAAAAATAAAGCAGTAGATGTCTATAGCCTACATTTTCACTCAGAATAGTATAACATGTGGTTTTTACATACTCCATATCAATATGTCAATTATGCTTCAGAAATAAAGGGACAACTTTACCAAGGTAGATAGCAGGAGGGTAAATGCCCTCAATTTTGAAAGAAATAGAAATTTAACTACCAGAGTAATATGTATCTTGTTTTATTGTTTAAAAATGGCATTTTTGCAAGGAATTGAGGAAAAGGATAATATTTCTAGTCTCCAAGCCATTATTTCTCAAAACGTGGTACTCAAGCCCCTCTGCATTATAGTTACAGAAGGAGCTTTCTGCGTTTCAGACTTTCAGCTCCTTTACTCGATCTGCTGAACCATAATCCCATGGGTCAGAGACTCAGAGTCCGAATAAAACCCCACTATGATTTTTATGTGTAATACAATTTCAGAACTATGATTTTTATGTGTACTAAAATTTGAGAGCTAATGTTTTTGCTACTTTAGATACAGTCTAGTAAGATTATTTGGCAAAGATACAGTCACAAAGACTTTTGTTGCAGCTCATTTATAATACCAAATAAACAGAAGTAATCTAATTGTTGCAATGAAGGATTGGCTTAATAAATTTTGATATATCATATGATGAAATACTATGAAGCTAATAAAATAATGCAGAGAAATATGTCACTATGTTCATGACAATGTTAAGTGGGAAGAAGAGGTTACAGACTGATCTCATTTCTATAAAACAATGACAAAAAAATACAAAAAAGTCATATTCACTAAAAACTCTGGAAGAACATATACCAATTCTCTAAAGTAGCTCTCTCTAGGGGATGAAGTGTATTATTTAAAATTAAAACCACAGTGCAAGTCATAATAGTAAAATGAAACAACATTCACCCTTGCAATCACTGAGATTAAGAAATATCTCTTACTCAGTTTCAAGATGTATCTAATATCAGCCAGGCACAGCACCACTGAGCTACATCCCCAGCAAGATACACAATATCAAAAGAAAAGAAACACTGAAGTATTTGAATTAATTTAAAACAAACCTATTAGATTATAATAAATGACATTCTTCATTATAATTAGTGACCTATATGGAATAGTTGAAAGACAAGTAATTTTAATGTAATGATTTTCACGATTGCAATAAACTGAAAGATATACTTAAAGCAATTTCATGTTAATTGCCACTTATAATGCATAAGCATTAACTTTATTATTATTTTCCTTTACTCAGTTTCTATGAAAAGTATCTAATTAATTTTTTGTTCTTTTTGTTTCTTTCAATGTAGAGACCAAACCAATCACTTGCAGAGGGATACAATAAGCTTTGTTTGAAACACAGAGTAAATGTTTAAATTTTTAAAGTAATATTACATAGACGCCCTACCGAGGTCCTGAGTCACGCGGAAGACT